CTGCTGTCCCAGGAGTCTGCTCGCTCTCTATCACTGTCATCCTCCTCTCCTCCTCCGTCTCCTTGTCTCAGTTTCTCTTCTTCGCTCTGAAATATATTCAGTTTTTCCTCTTCAGTGTTCGTTCTTGCTTTATCAAATCTTTACATTTAGATAACGTCGTTAACGAGATGAATCAGGAGGACGAGTCTGTGTTCCTGTTCGTTCCGCCGCCTAAACCCTCTCTCTCTCTCTCTCTCTCTCTCTCTCTCTCCTTCTTTTCTCCTTTTCTTACATCATTCTGAGCGTTCGTCTTTCACTCCATCGATCCGAGGCGGAAGAAACCGGTTCATTTCACTCCTGGAGAAAAGAGCTTTAATTTCTAAAAGGGTTCAACTAACGAGCGTGTGTATAGATATTAGTACACCAGAAGTTCACTGAAGGTGCACATGATGATAATCTGATTATAGAGGGCTTTAAATGTATACAAATGTGTGTAAAGTGTGTGTTTGAGATTAGACGTTTAAAGGGACAGTTCACCATTTCCATCCTGTAAGATCAGACCACCTCTCAGGTAGGGCTGAGCGACACGGGACAAAGTTTATCACGATATTTTTTTTTCGTATCAGTCAATATTATTTGTATTTTTTTGGGCCGATGCTGATACCGATTATTAGGGGGGAAAAAATCAAATTTTTGATATATATATCGTTATCAATGTTTTATTGTCCAGCCCTACTCTCAGGTCTGATTGATCAATAACCTCTGTGTCATCATGATCAATCATCCATCTTTCCAAAAATACAGATTATTCCGAAGAGACGGTTTGTTATAATAATAATAATAATAATACATTTTATTTGAAGCGCCTTTCACGTCACTCAAGGACACTTTACAGAACATATAAAAACAATAATAAAACACTATTAACAATTAAAATCATTAATCATTAAACAGTTAAAATCAACAAAGCAACATTAAAACATGAACAACAGCAAAGGAATAAATAAAGAAATGAATAATACCAATTGAAATTTAATAAAAAAAAAAAAGTTTAAAAAATGTGTGTGTGTGTGTGTGTGTGTGTGTGTCTGTGACCCGCTCTTTGGGACTGAAGGAGGACTTTCCTGTAAACCTCCTCCTCCGGGTCAGAACCATCAATCCACCTCTGGCAGCGCTCTGCCCGGAAACAAGGATCACGTCCAGTCCAAACAGAACCCGTGTTTGGTTTCCACCGCAGAACACGGTTGGACGCCAGTGGCGAGACCTTGGCTGTGAGCGAGTGAGCGAGTGTGTGATGAAGGGCGAGCGTCTGTCGTTAAGTAGGAGAAGGTGAGACTCAGGTGAAGAGCTCGTCTGTGATTTGTTAATTTCCCCCAGAAGTGAAGAAAAGTTCTGGACCGGCTCCTTTAATGGCGTGAAGCTTTCATCTGGTTGGTCGGCTCTAACGCGGGCAGGACGCCGCCGCCGCCGCTCCTCTGAACACATGTTGCTCGGCTCTGTAACGAGTTTAAACTCCCATCTGCGGCCGACTCGGGGTCCGAGAAGAAAAGCCATTAATCATCACCTGAGTGTGTGACAGCCGGCGTTTGATTGGAGGTTTGATCCCGGCGCTCTGACAGCTTTCTCTCCCCGGCTGCTGTAGCTAGAGGGGTAAAGGCGGCGGGGGGGCGGGGACACGTGGTGGTAGGGTGGTGGGGGGGGGGTGAACACACATCACAGGAAGCATAATTGGCCGTGAGTGAGCGCTTACTGGATCAGCAGCAGCCAGCTCCCTGACTGAGCCACCTTGGACCCCCTCCAAGCAGCCGGGGATATTTTTAATTTACCTCCGACATCAGACCTCAGGAATGTACCCCCCCCACCCCCACCTCCACGCCTCCACCCAACATATAGATACCACCGTACACCCCCCTCCCCTCCTTTCATTCACTCTCTCTCTGCTTCCCATTATCTTTATTTGAAATGCAGATCTATATTGACTCATCAGAAACACATGTGTGTGACACGCTCGTGCACGTGTGTAGGCGTGTGTGTGTGTGTGTGTGTGCGCTCTGAAAGCCGATCTGCGGGTTCACTGTAAAATAGGCCCGCGGTGGACTCCGGAAATACCTGGAAGCGGAGCCGGGACGCGTGTTTGTTTCATCCCGGTCTGCGGGGTCACCGGAGTTCATCCTCTCTTCAGAGGCATACCTCTCTGATTGATCTGGATCAGAACCAAAGAACGGTTTTGCCCTCAGGTACAGTAGATTGAGTCGGTTACTAATGTGCGACCGGGTTGGCCCCGGTTGAGCGCCTGTTAAAGGGGCCCTGCTGATCAAGCGCAGACCTGCCCGGCTCCTGGCCCCGCTCTTCACTTTAACGACTGGATCTCAGACCGGCTCCCTGGTTTCGCTTTCGCCACGTGACATTTTTTGGACTCCCAACAAAGCCCCACCAGTACCAGGACGTAAACATCCCCGTCTGGGTCCACGCTAAGACCCCTGTACCTCTTTTTTTCAGGTTCTTGTAACAGGAAGTGTTTCTCCCCCTCTAATTATGCCCCCGGGAAACAAAGCTTCTAGGAACCAACGAGTTTTCAGTCGTACATAAACATTCAGAAAGAGCGTGTTTAGACTCTGAGCTGACGTCCGCTGATGTCTGTGTGTGTTTGCAGTTTGAGAAATATGATAATAGGCGTGTTAATCTGACGCCGCGTTGACAGGGCCGCCGTGTACGAGGCGGCCCGTGAACATCAGGAGGATCAGAGAGGTGAGGAGAGGCTGACGGTTTCCTAGAATCCCACCGCCGAGGTTACAGGGAGGTGAGCTTTGGCAGGGTTCACTGCCAAGGTCTGGACGTGTGTGTGTGTGTGTGTGTGTGTGTGTGTGTGTGTGTGTGTGTGTGTGTGTGTGTGTGTGTGTGTGTGTGTGTGTGTGTGTGTGTGCGTGCGCGCTCTCTATCTTTATGAAGGTCCACCTGAGGAGAAGCTGTTTCCGCTGTCACGGTAAATTCCTCTGCAGCTCTCACAGTGTCGGCCCCGGCAGTCGTCGGCCGTCTTTGGGGTGGTCGCGCTCAAGAGGCCCCCTGTTTCATAGCCGCTCAGGTCGCCCCCCGCCGTGCCGGCCTAAAATAAAGAGCCTCTCTGTCTCTCTGCTCTGGAAACATCCGTCATACACTTCAGCCAAAGGAGCGTGTGTGTGTTTTAGTCTGCGGACACAGACGGGGATTATGACTCTGAAAGGTGGAAAATGAAGATTTCATTGAGAGTTAGTCTGGAAATAAGATAAGAGGAACTTTATTGATCCCTGAAGGGGATCTGAATGATCGCTTTATAGCAGCTTCTTCAGAATTACAGAAGCAGACAAACTGAACACATGAGCTCAGCGTAGACCGGTCTAGAGAAGAGGATTTAGACCTTTTAGCTGGTTTTCCTCTTAGTCAAATATCTCTACGTGTTTTTTTTCAGGTCCTTAAAATGAACATCACTCCTTTATATTCATTCTAGACCGGGAATACTGGCGCCTGATACGTGTTCTGACCATGTGATATTCTCATTAGCATATTTGGATGATAGATAAGTGATTACAAGTACAACTCGTGCCCAAAGGACAGTTTCTCATGGAGATATTTGAATGTTTAGGGGTGGTGAGAGTAGGACCGGGCGATTATGTGATTTTGATAAATTTCAGTTCGATCACGGTGATCAGCTGTGAGCATATTTACTCGATCAAACATGGCGGAAATGTGCGTCACAACAGCCAATCAGAGTCGAGCTTTTCCTGCTCACTTCTGTAAGATGCCGGAGAAGTAAACCGAATGACCGAACGTGGAGCTGAGGGCAGCAAGATAGACGTCAGCTGTGACTTTGAGTCATCCTCAGAAGATGTTATTGTTGAGAAGAAAAGTTCTTCAATGTCGGTTGTTTGTCGGTGGTTCAGGTATCTCCAAAGTGACTTCGAACAAATAAGCCATTGTGCAAGGTATGTCGGCGGTCGGTGCTTCAAAAACCGGCAACACAACAGATCTGTTTGATCATTTGAAGAATGAAAATGCGAATGGAGTCTCCACAGCTGCTGAAGGCAAAAGATGCATTAGCAGTTTAGCTACAAGTAGCGGTGCAGCAACCAGACCAAAGCAGTTATCAATCGTATAAATATTTGTCTTAATGTCAGTTATAAACTTGGGAAGTTTCATGGTGATATCTGTTAGTTAAAAAATTTACTCTATTCTCCTCGGGGGTCTCCCTGGGCTTCCTACCATCATGGACGCCATCTTGAAAATGACGCCTTTCTAATTGTCAAACTTTGGTAAACTTTGAGTTTGTTATTAAGAACGTCTGATACCATAAAAATAAACCTTCTGTTCGAATTTTTAGGTGTTTTTTTTTTCCGTCTATCTAACTTCTCTGTATTTTCGTCTCAGCGTTTCATCAAGGTGCCCTTCAGCTCCAGCTGCTTAGCGGCCAATAAATGAGGACTGCTGGTCCTGAGCAGCTCCCAGAACTCCCAGTAGTGGATGCATGGAACTGTGGGAATGTCCACAGTGGTGCCTCAATTATGTCCGATATAGGACAGGCTTGATTGTCCCATAATTTCAGCCCAACACTCGGTTGGCGCCGTGCGCTCCGGTTCTGGAGCATTGTGCCTCAGATTAGAGCGGATAGTGATCTGCAGCCAATTAGGATTTAAGCAGCAGATAATTGGCCGTCCCCTTTTGTCACTGTGTTCATTATCCACGCCATGTTGGCGAGGAGGAGGGGGGGGGCGACCAACATGCATATGTGTGTGTCTAAAGTGTTGTATTGTTTTTGTGAACTGGGCTGTGGAGGGGGGTGGTGTGTGTGTGTGTGTGTGTGTGTGTGTGTGTGTGTGTGTGTGTGTGTGTGTGTGTGTGTGTGTGATGTGCTGTTATCTAATACATGGTCAGGCTGATTCTCTGATTCTTCCACCTGCAGCTGGAACAAAGCCAAAAGAGGGCGGGGCCTGAGGACATGAATTCCTCATCGCTGTTTTCTTTGTCTTTTTTTTTCTCCTCGTACAGCTCTACCTCCTCTCCTCCTCTTCCTCCTCCTCCTCCTCCTCCTCCTCATCTTTGTCCTTCTGTTTCTCCCCCTCTCCCTCCTCCCTCCCCCTCCTCTCTTTGTCCTATACATCAGCAGCACATGCAGTAATGCTATAGATACATGACGTCACTCCGCCTCTCGTGGTCATTACTGTAATAGCTGCTCTCTCTCTCTCTCTCTCTCTCTCTCTCTCTCTCTCTCTCTCTCTCTCTCAGGGAGGGAGGGAGGGGAGTCCAGACAGATTTTCCTGCTGTAGTCTGCATAGGTAGTGGATCATCTCCCTTTGTCTCCCCCCCCCCACTCTATGCATGTCTTTGTCTTGCGGCCCACCTTCCTTTGTGCCCCTCTGTCTTTGTTTCCTTTGTTTTGACTCTCTTACTTCTTCTTCTTCTTCTTCTTCTTCTTCTGTTCCTCCTCCATTATTCCCCCCCATCACTCCTCTAATCCCTCTTCGCCACGCCGCACGCACATATTTCTCCCCTCTTCCTGTCTCCTGGCAGTAAGCTGAGTGATATGACGCCGTATAGTGCTCTAATAGTGATGACCCGGTGGTCTCATGTGCAGGATGTCTTCTCCCATTAGCGCCCCTCTGGGAAGTGTCAGTACCACTCTGTGATGGGCCGTGTGTTTATGGACATATGCTCCCCCCTCCTCTGCGGTCGCTCGCTCGCTAATGTAACGTAAATATCAGAAAATGGAAGATCAAAGCTGGAGGGGTACTGCGGGGTCCGGCTCTAAGAGGTCCGGACTCCTCGGACCTGAACAGATGTAGTTGTCGAGGGGGTTTGTGCGCGGCTCTGGTATTTTGGGGTCCGCGCAACAGCTTCTCATGGATCGGGGCCGTTCTCCTGTGATATAGGAGACGGGAGGAAAGCACTTGAAAAGAAAAATGTGAGCCGAGCCCCTCAACTCTCAACGGGGCAATGAGAGATGATGGGTGGTGACAATACACCCTTCAAGGAAAAATGCGCTTCCTCTCAACCGGCCCTCCACCTCTCGTCCTCGGGCCCCCTCACAGCTGTCTGTACACAGGACCCTGGCTTGAGAACTTTCTGAGGCTCCAGGACCCCGCCATGCCGCCCTCCCCAAATGAAGAGCTGTCACCCTGGGTCGCCTCAGCCATTGAGCCCCTCCGCCGGGGCCCCTGACCAGGAGCCGCGGGAAAGCATCGGGGGGACTGTACGAGTCTTTTTGTACGATGTGGACTGTGGGGCTGTCTTGATATTAACCAAATGTGACAACAGCAAATTACACCCACCAAAGGGCGCGGCGGCGGCGGCGAGGGAAGCGATCACACGGTGGACGCCACAATGAGCGGTACAAAGCTACTGTCCTTCTGAATTAGCTGTGTCCCGTTTTATCCGGCCTGTTCGGAGGACGTCAGTTAACCGGACGCATGTGGACGAACGGTCGAGGATCGATCCCACGTTTGAACTCGTGTGAGCTCATCCTGACCGAGCGTCTGAGGTTTTGTTTGTCTGTTATTGATTATCACCACTGAGAATCAATCCTGGCAGTTAAGATGAAGAGGCGATCAGAAAAACGGTGAAATATTGATCCTGTTTCTGTTCATCTCACCAGCTCGGCAGAGGTGCAGAGCGGCTCTGGGTGGTCGCCGTGACGGTGTATCGCGGGTTATGTAACCCCCGCTGATGGAGTTGTGATTGCAGACTGATAAGGTCATGTGATCCCTGCCGAGGAATTAACACACGCCTCACTTCACCCCTGATCCTTCTTCCACTCAACATAAAGCAAATTACTGCTAACAATCTTCAGGCGGCCGGGCTCCTCCACCGACACGGACAATGCCATTGTTCTCCCGCTCCCTCCCGCCTTCACTCCCCCAAGAAATTATAAGTCCCCCACTGGGCACTGGGAAGAAGGCTGTCGGCCTCAATTCCACGAACCCTTCCACATCTAAACCGTCTTCTTGGATGACCGTGAAAAGAAAAATGTTTCTCTTTTTTTGTCTCTCCCCTTTTGTCCTCGCGCTCCCTGATTGTCTTCTAATTGATGGAGCTTTCAGGTTCATATTCATCACCTCCTTTCCCATGCTCCTCAGCGGCTCTGTGCAGATTGGATGGACAGGGTTCTGGGAAGGTGCTGACTCCGACAAACACAAAGTGGACTTGACACAAACAGACCGAAAACTCCAGATCCAGACCCTGACGGGACTGTAAACCTGCAGCTCTGATGAGGAAGTGCACGTGTGCCTCTGACTGTATCCTGAAGGTCACCTCGACGTGCAGGTGTGTGTGTGTGTGTGTGCAGAGGAGCGGGGCGAAGTGGAGTGAGGTGGAAATGAAGAGTAAGCACAAACAGAGGGAAGTGAGCGTGGTTCAGGTCAAGGTGATCAGAAATCTAATTTATCGGGAGGAAACCACAGAGTTTATTCAGAGTTTACAAAAACACGGAGGGATGAACGCATGAATATTCACCCCTGAGTCTGTGAGGAACAACATGTCCGAGAGAAACCTCCTCGGCTCTGCAGCGTTCCTCCGCCCTTGACTGTCATTCCCATCGTGTCCTTAAAGATGGATCTGAAGAGAGCAGCTGCAGCTCAGAGCGGTGCTGCTGGACTAACCGGGTCTGGGTCACCTTGTGCGTGCACTGACCTGACCCCTCTGAACCCTGGAACAAAGCATGTCTGAGTAGATCTGCTGCACACTTTTTACATATCTGTGTAACACTCATATTTCATGGATGAACATATCTCTGAGTTAAACAAGATGAATTAAAGTCATTTATCTGAGCCGGAGGACACCCCCGCTCACAGGAACGCCGACTAAAGAAGAGTCATCGCCACTTTACTGAACAAAGGAGCTGAGAAAAGCCGAGTCTGCATGTACGTGCCGCAGGAATCCAGGGCGCCAGCGTCTGTGACATTCTGTACATCATCTCAGCGAGTACACTATCCTCACTGAACCTCCTGTTGTTCACATCGCTCTCTCTCCTCCTCCTCCTCCCCCCTTCCCTCCCTCCCTACCTCCCGTCTTTCTCTTGCATAATAGCTGTTGTGGCCGTGAGCTAGTAGCTGCAGCGATGAGCTCACAGCAGTGAAGCCCCGCCCCCTCAGAGCGCCGGCTGGGTTCAGTCGTTACTGAAAAGCTGCCAGTATTTCATCATCCTCTCTGTCTCCCCTCAATGACCCCCCACTGGAGTTATACCCCCAGTCGCCTCAGGGTGGCAGCGCAGCCATGCGATTTTATTCCCTCAGCCCAGACACATTGTCCTCGTTGACTCTGTGTGTGTGTGTGTGTGTGTGTGTGTGTGTGTGTGTGTGTGTGTGTGTGTACGTGTGTGTGTCTAACGGCTGGCAGGAACACCAACTGCCTGCAGTCTGCAACGCTCTCTCTCTACAACAGTCTGGGACGGCTAACACGAACAGACACAAGGGAAGGAGAGAGGAGGAGGAGGAGAAAGAGAGGAGGAGAGAGGAGAGGAAGGAGTGAGGGGAGGAGGGAGAGAGGTACTGCGGAAAAAAAAAAGGAGGGAGGGAGGGAGGTGAAGTTTATCGCAGAGGAGAGGAGGTAATGTACAGAATGATGGAGTGAGTGAGAAAGATGGAGGGAGACACAATAGGATGCTGTGGAGCGTTCAGGGATTTAGGGAGCGGAAGAAAAGAGGAGAGGGAGCGAGAGGAGAGGAGACAAAGAGGGAGACGAATGTAGAAGAGAGAGAGAGAGAGAGAGAGAGAGAGAGAAAGGTCAAATAAAGACGGATGAGCAGAGGAAACAAAGAAAAAGAAATCTGTTTTTTTATCTGACAGCTGCTGGAGGAAGAGCCGGGTCAGGAGGAACCGGGTCAGGAGGAGCCGGGTCAGGAGGAGCTGGGTTAGGAGGAGCCGGGTCAGGAGGAGCCGGGTCAGGAGGAGCCGGGTCAGGAGGAGCTGGGTCAGGAGGAACCGGGTCAGGCTGCTGCAGGATGGTGGCAGCATGTGTTGTAATGGGCATGAAGGGGGCATGAGTGGATGTGTGAGGAGGAAGGAGAGGGGCTCTTGTCAGCACCTGTCGCGTGCTGGCCCGGGGGAGTTTTCTGTGTGTGTGTGTGAGAGAGAGAGAGAGAGAGAGGGAGAGGAGGGGGAGGAAAAAGTGCTGGAATGCGGCCCAGTCCCTTGGGGTAACCCCCTCCCCATTGTCGCCCTCCGTCCCCTTAATGATACCTCATCTCTCTTATATAACCCGATGATCCCTCTGCTCTCTTCACAAGAGGACCAGGATGGATCTTCACACGTGCACACACATGCACGCTGCAGAGTGCGGCGGTGGCGGCGGCAGCGGCGAGGTTTTGGCGGCATTGTTCAGCGGAGAGAAGATGTTGGCTGATTTCCAGAGGAGGATTATATCACTTCCCTGTTGCTCTCTACTTCAACACGGGGAAATCTTGTTGAGCCCCGACTGCGCCCGTGTTTCCCCTTCCCCTCGCTGGCACCTCTGGGCCGCCAGCTGCACATTAACAAGGGATTGAAGCGGGACAGTCATCGAATATGTTTTTATTGAGGAGGGGGGGTCTCACTGAAGACATTTGCTCTTCCTCGTCAGCCGCTCAGACCGGACTCCCACAGACTCGCGGTGAGGTTACAGTGAGTTTGAGAGTGTTTAAAGTCAGAGATTATCTCACTCTCTCATTAAACTCTCGTCTTCATTCATCATTTTTACGTCCTGGAAGTGCTCGTCTGTCCCCTTCAGCCCTAATGGCAATAAAACCATCTGATCCCAAAATGATCCCGATCGTTTTCAGACCTCCGCCCCGTTAAGACTCAAGGATCCCCAATAAAAAGCATAAAAGTGAGCCGTCTGGACACTTTCACTGCGCCGTGACCCTCCGCCATGACCCCTGACCTGCAGAGTGTACGCACAATGGGAAGCAATGAAACACCAGGGATATGCTAAGGTAGGGGAACTCCCCAAGGTCAATGACTTTATAACGGGGGAGAAAAAAAGGGAGAAGGAGGTAAAGAGGTGAGGAGAAAAGAGGAAGAGCTGGTCGTTCTTTAAAAGAAGGACAAGCTTCCCATCATCACTCACCGACTCCGACACATCCTCACAATAGCCTACTTTCTATTGTTTTGGCCGAGGCTGCGGCGCTCAAATCCCCAAAGTAATTATGAAATTTAATTACTATTCCTCAGGGAGACGCATGGAAATGAGTTCCCATGATTCTGTGCTGCCAGGCAGAGAGCAGCGAGCGCAGCGAGTCGACGGAAACACCCGGCGTCGTCACGAACAGCTGATCCACTCTGTGTCGGGGTTGACATTGAACATGTGATCAAAGCTCGCTGTCACCTGTGACGGCATCGACGAGTCCTCTCACACTTCAGGTTTGTCAGCCCTGAAATAGACGCAGAGTCAAACATGAGCCGGCCTGCAGATCCCAGAGTCTGGGTATAGAGTCGGAGTACATAGATCACACCTAGACTAACTGAAGTAGAGTTTTATGACCTGATATCAACAGGGGAAATAGAAAACAACCAGACTGAACTGAAGTCAACAAGCCATTAATCCCGCCTGGCAAACGCACAGATGTGCGGCGAACAACACAATCCAATCACGTCTGCTGGCTGGCCGGGGAATGCGGTCAGATGCCATAACAATATACGGCATCAAAGCCGGCGTGGTTGTAAGCTGTAAGGCGTTGAATAACCCCGCAGATTAGCGCTGTAAGTCATGGCAGCCACCCCAGACGTCATAAATGTCCCCAGACAGAGAGAGACAGAGTCAGGCCTGGCTGACCCGGCTGACCCCGGGGTGACGGTCTCCGGGTACTCGGATATTTGGTCCTCCTGAGCTTTGTCTCTGTGTTGTCAGGTTAAGGTTTAAAGTCCCATGGTGCATTTCTGTGAGTCCAACGCCAGAGAGGAGCGGTGTGAATGTGAGCAGCTGTTAGGAAGGAGCGTGGGGGTGTGGAGGGGGGGTCGGCCCTATCTTAAGTCCTCTGACCTTAAACAGCGGAGATGTCCTTGAGTAACACTGAGCTGCAGAATGGAAATGAGTCATTTTGTTGGTTAATCATCATTGATTATGTAAATCTTTGGGGTCCTCAGACAGACTCAGCAGTAATCCCCAATAATAATAACAACACAGCGACATGTCCTGTCTGTCTGTGTTTGATTGATTGCTTATTAATTATGACATTTAAAGATATCAGACCAGAATCACTCATTTCACCAAAGTTTGAAAAGAGTTCTTGACCCTGTCGGCGTCCTCTCTGACCTTGAACGGGACTTTTTGTTTTATTGCAATGAAAGATGAAAATCTCGACTTCTCTCTTTGTCGGCGTCTAACGTGTCCTCCTCCCCAACACTAGGGGGCGATATGGGTCTTTTCAGCGGCGCTGTTTCCGACCCCATACAACCGTCAACAACAACAGCAGGTCGGTGTCAGACGTCAGAAGTGTCTACAACTGCTGCTGGGCATTTTGGAGAAACAAGAAGATGGAGCATCGTACAGCGTTGTTTTTGTCCGACATGATGGACGCGCTACTTTTTCTAAAGAGGAGACCAACGCTACTCCTCTACTCTGGGGGTTTGTTACGGGGTTATGGGGGCGTGGCGCACACACACATGCATTGTCCGATCAGACTACGACTACGTTGGTTACATGGTAGAGAAAATCGAAATTCCAATCACATCATCTGGGTGTCTTAATAAGACTAAGGTGTTTACATGCACTTCAGTTGTCCGGTCTTAATCGGAATAAGGCGATAATTCGGTTTTCTCGAGTGTCATGTAAACGGACTGAGTAATCCCACACCTGGAGATCCATCAATCTGTGATCGTTTGTTTAGGCCTTATTTTTAGAGAAGGTCTGTTATATCTAAAACCTTTACACTGATCTCTATTTTTCTCCTCTGTGTCCTAACGGCAGCTGCTGTCTTCGAACCAACAAAATCAGGATGGCGGTCTCCTTTACGGTCTACGACAGAACAGGTGTAGGTCCTGACGGAGGACCACCCTCTGTGAAAAAGACTGGTCCTCATGGAAGTATAAGTGGAATAAGGTTGAGGCAGACGGAGCCGGGTCAGAGTGAGGTGAAGGAAAACGTCGGTACATGTTCAGACCTTCAGACGGTTACATGATCTATCATACAGCCGCACACACAGAAGAGCCGCCTCACATCGCTTTAATCCCGCCCCCGAGCATGAGAGACGTGGTTATGCTCCCAGGCGGCGACTTATGCTGTGTGCATCTAATCATGTTACAGTCGGCCCTGAGCCGGCGTTCTTGGCACGGTGCTCCTCGCTGATTTGCATCTTAGACTCAGCTCACAGAAAACAGCAACCACGCTCTGCACCAATGAGAATAACTGAGAAATATCGACTCTTCTGATTGGTTCTTCTTAAAGAATTTACTCAACATTTTTAAAATCCAGTTCTCACACCCACACACACACCGCTCATGAGAACACACTGTCTGTTTTCTCTCCTTCTGCATCAGGCTGATTATTTAACAGCCAACATGATTCATAAGGATGTCCAAAATCTGTTGATATGTGGACGTGATTTATTAATCAATAACTAAATAAATGATCAATTTCTGTAGTCTGACATGAATCAGCTCCACCACAGGTTCTCCTCTCCCTCCAGTCTCAGTCTATACAGGGTGAATCTTCAGTACCGTCAGGATGAGAGTGAACGGCGCAGCTCTGCACAGCAGCGGGTGAAGCTGCAGGACTTTATGGGTGTTTTTATTCTTCAGTATCAAAGTTTAATCGAGTAAAAACTCGTCTGAACAACAGTCCTGTCCTGGTCTTCCTGTGGCAGTGATCGTTAAAGGTGGAGTAGGCAGGAATCTGTTAAAGAAGCATCTTTTTTGTGGTATATAAACAAAATATCTTTTAATATCAGTCAATAGTTATTAGTTATTGATGACATTTGGTAATACATCGATATCTCTGTGTTCTCTCCTGTCTGTGTCGTCAACATTTGAACATTTTTGAGCGGTCCGCTCTTTCTGACTGTAAACAAAGCCGTTCTCCACCTCCTCTAACCTGATTGGTTGTGAGGCAGACGCTGCTCCCCCGTGTCGTTCAGGAGCCCAAACAAAGTTAGTGTGCTACAATATCGGACAGTAGAAACCAACCAGAAAGTTCGGAAAATTGTCTGAATCCTCCTTTGGCCACGACTGCCGACACAAGCAAGAAAACAAAGTAAATACCGGAGACTCTGGAGGAATAACGGGCGCTTAAAACGGAGGTAGACCGGACAAGAGCTAAAAAGCCGGGTCAACATAAACCATGGGGGACGCTTGGGGATCTTGGTGACCCTGTAACCTTTCTGCTGGACAGGTAAACCGCTTTAACAAAGTAAGACAAGTGTCTGTAACAGAAGTGTTTCTTGTCAAACGGACCTGCTGTAGCGTGTTGTAGCGCCATCGCTAAACTGTCCTCCCTCGGGTCCTGGACTATGTCACTTTATCCTCGTTGTAGAAGTCCTGCAAACATTGTGTTTGCTGGTAGTCTGTTGGCATCTACAGTAGCACCAATGCTTTTGACTTTCACCTTGACTGGGCCCCATTTGTAATGATCTGAAGTATTTATCTGCATTATATCTGACTTTAACTGGAACGATACGAGGGAGCAGGAGCGTCTGTTTGTGGGCGGGGCTTGCTGGAGCAGAGAGGGAGGAGAGAGAGCGAGAGAGAGAGAGAGAGAGAGAGAGAGAGAGAGAGAGAGAGAGAGAGAGAGAGTTTCTCTGTGTTGTCTCTTTAACTCTGTGGCTCTAAAACAGTTGAAGTGTGTTTCTGCTCGATGAGGTTTCTATGAGGTGAATAAATGTTGGTTCAGTTGATCTTCAGGACGGCTGCAGCTTTAAGAACTTCTGCTTGTTGGAGTTTGAGAGTCTAAAGTTCACAGAGACGCTCCTCCTCCTGGATTGTAGACAAACTGGATCCCCCCCTCCCTCGTCTCTCACAGCTCACTCCACTCTGCACTCTCACTTCCTTGTTCCCTTCCCTTCCTTCCTCCCTCCCCCTCAGATCTACAGTCTTGGTTGGGTGTAACCTCCGTGTGCTGACTTGATCCTGCTGACTCACATGTTGTTGAGATCAGAGCTCAGACTAGTTTGACTTCTCAGGAAATAAAACTCAGTCAGTCGTCGTCGACAGCGAGTGTTGAAATGGCGCAGAAAGGAGTTCATCTGGACCGTGAGTCTCTCTCTTGTTCCATCTGTTTGGATCTTCTGAAGGATCCGGTGGCTGTTTCCTGTGGACACAGCTTCTGCATGAGCTGTATTCAATCCTACTGGGATACTGAGGATGAGAAGAAGATCTACAGCTGTCCTCAGTGCAGAGAGACCTTCAGACCGAGGCCTGTCCTGAAGAAAAACACCATGTTAGCAGGTTTAGTGGAGGAAGTGAAGAAGAGTGGACTCCAAGCTGCTCCTGATGGTTCCTCTGAGGCTGGACCTGAAGATGTGGCCTGTGATTTCTGCAGTGGGAGAAAACTGAAAGCTGTCAAGTCCTGTCTTCAATGTCTGGTTTCTTACTGTCAGATTCACCTCCAGCCTCATTTTGAAGTAGCTCCATTAAAGAAACACAAGCTGGTGGAGCCCTCCAAGAAGCTCCAGGAGAACATCTGCTCTCGTCATGATGAGGTGATGAAGATGTTCTGCCGCACTGATCAGAAGTCCATCTGTTCTCTCTGCTCTGTGGACCAACACAAAGGTCACGACACAGTCTCAGCTGCAGCAGAAAGGGCTAAGAGGCAGAAAGATCTGGAGGAGAGTCGAGAAAACATCCAGCAGAGAATCCAGGACAGAGAAGAAGATGTGAAGCTGCTCCAGCAGGAGGTGGAGGCTATCAACGGCTCTGCTGATAAAGCTGTGGACCACAGCCAGGAGATCTTCATCCAGCTGATCCGTCTGATGGAGAAACGCCGCTCTGATGTGGAGCAGCAGGTCAGATCCCAGCAGGAACGTGAAGTGAGTCGAGTCAAAGAGCTTCAGGAGAAACTGGAGCAGGAGATCACTGAGCTGAAGAGGAAAGACGCTGATCTGCAGAAGCTCTCACTCACAGAGGACCACAACCAGTTTCTGCACAGCTACCCCTCACTGTCAGAACCGGGTCAACCTGCAGACTCATCCAGGATCAACATCCGTCCTCTGAGATACTTTGAGGAGGTGACAGCAGCTGTGTCAGAGGTCAGAGAGAAACTCCAGGATCTTCTGACAGAGACGTGGACAAACGTCTCACAGGCAGTGACTGAAGTGGATGTTTTACTGTCAGAACCACCAGAACCAGCAGAACCAGAGCCAGAACCCAAGACCAGAGCTGGTTTCTTAAGATATTCACAAAGAATCACACTGGATCCAAACACAGCAAACAGAAATCTGTTATTATCTGATGGAAACAGAAGAGCAACAAGGACACTAGGACAACTACAGTCTTATCCTGATCATCCAGACAGATTCACTCGTTGGTTTCAGGTCCTGAGTAGAGAGAGTCTGACTGGACGTTGTTACTGGGAGGTGGACTGGAGCGGGGTCAGGGTTTATGTAGCAGTCGCATACAAGACTATCAGGAGAGACGGAGACTCATGGGATTGTTTATTTGGATTAAATGACAAATCTTGGAGGTTATTCTGTTCTAAAGACATTTATAGATTTGGTCACAACAAAGTCTTCACTGATGTCTCAGGTCCTCCGTCCTCCAGAGTAGGAGTGTACCTGGATCACAGAGCAGGTATTCTGTCCTTCTACAGCGTCTCTGAAACCATGACTCTCCTCCACAGAGTCCAGACCACATTCACTGAACCTCTACATGCTGGACTGTGGTTCTGGTCTTATGGAGCCTCTGCTGAGTTTATAGAAATGAAATAAAGAGAATTTTGAGTCCATCAGACCAAAATCATGGACTGAGATCCTTGAACTCTTGAAATGTTCTGGTTTGTAAATGTTTGTGGATCAGTCTCACCAAAAACTCTGGGTTTAGTTCTTCATTTCAGCTTTTTGATTCTTTTCTAAAGATGCTGATTTGGTTGCAGCTTTAAGGACAGTGATTGTGGAGAACTTTGATTGTTTGTATTTCTCATGTTGAAAAATCTTCATCCAGTTTGATATCAACAACATCAAGATGATGGTTTGTTCAAATCACCTTCAGTTGGTGCAGATGTTGAAGGTCTGAGACTTTAGAAAAAAGTGAGGTCAAAATCACAGAAAAAGGACGACCTTATTTCCTGTCCCAAATCCAAGCGTCTAAAGTCTTTCCAGTCGTCCCCAAAAACTCTTCAGATGATCTGTTTCTTTCTCTGTTTGCTGAATATTTGTGTTCATGTGATCGATGGATATTTCTGTCTGCTTCTGTTGGATCAGTGTGTTTGTAAAGACATCTAGAATCAGACTTTGGACAGATCTACATGTTGTTATGAGCTTTTCAATCACTCTAATAATAATAATCACATTTATTAGTCCGACTGTTTGGATGTTTCTGACTCAGCTCAGATTGTGGTCAAGTCTCTGATTGTGGGTAAAAAAATCATAAAAATCCTCAAACTGAGTCACTGAAATCACCTCGTCTGTTTGTCTTTATTGTGTCTGTTTCTGCTGGATGTCATGTTACCGCTCCGTCTGGGTCATGGATCCATGTGGTCTTACATGTCCCAGATGTGAGTCCTGCAGCTGGATCAGGTTTTCTGTAGAGGACAAAGACAGGAGGCAGGTTGTGTGTCTTTTTGATTTGATGTAACCAGACTAGTCCTGTTGAGATCATCAATCTCTTTTTCAGGGGGGGTCCTGACCAAGAATGGCAGCAAAAAACAAACACACTCAGACTCACACAGATCCACATCAGCAACAAGAACTCAGTGTTCATATGAGAGAGTCCAGCTGATCTCTAGACTAAGGAAAGAAGTCTGGACCACAAGAAGAAAACCGACTTAAAGGTGAAGTAGACAGGAATCTGTTAAAGAAGCATCTTTTTATTTTGTGGTTTTAATACAAAAATCTTTGAATATCAGTCAATAGTTATTAGTTATTGATGACATTTGGTAATATATCGATATCTCTGTGTTCTCTTATGTCTGTGTCGTCAACATTTGAACATTTTTGAGCGGTCCGCTCTTTCTGACTGTAAACAAAGCCGTTCTCCACCTCCTCTAACCTGATTGGTTGTGAGGCAGACGCTGCTCCCCCGTGTCGTTCAGGAGCCCAAACAAAGTTAGCGTGCTACAATATCGGACAGTAGAAACCAACCAGAAAGTTCGGAAAATTGTCCGAATCCTCCTTTGGCCACGACTGCCGACACAAGCAAGAAAACACTCAAACATAAACAGTCAGCAAGAAAAGAGTCAGCAAGAAAATTAGTCAACCATAAACAGTCAACACCAAAACAGTCAACAAAAAACAGTCAGCAAGAAAACAGTCAACAAGATAACAGTCAACACCAAACCAGTCAACACCAAACCAGTCAACACCAAAACAGTCAACAAAAAACAGTCAACAAGAAAACAGTCAACAAGAAAACAGTCAGCAAGAAAACGTCAACCATAATCAGTCAACAAGAAAACAGTCAACAAAAAACAGTCAGCAAGAAAACAGTCAACAAGAAAACAGTCAACAAGATAACAGTCAACAAGATAACAGTCAACAAGAAAACAGTCAGCAAGAAAACAGTCAACAGGAAAACAGTCAGCAAGAAAACAGTCAACACCAAACCTGTCAAAAAGAAAACAGTCAACAAGAAAACAGTCAACAAGATAACAGTCAACCACAATCAACAAGAAAACAGTCAACCACAAACAGTCAGCAAGAAAACAGTCAGCAAGAAAACAGTCAACAAGAAAACAGCCAGCAAGAAAACACTCAAACATAAACAGTCAGCAAGAAAACAGTCAACACCAAACCAGTCAACAGGAAAATGGTCAACAAAAAACAGTCAGCAAGAAAACAGTCAACAAGAAAACAGTCAGCAAGAAAATGCTGCTCCCCCGTGTCGTTCAGGAGCCCAAACAAAGTTAGCGTGCTACAATATCGGACAGTAGAAACCAACCAGAAAGTTCGGAAAATTGTCTGAATCCTCCTTTGGCCACGACTGCCGACACAAGCAAGAAAACAAAGTAAATACCGGAGACTCTGGAGGAATAACGGGCGCTTAAAACGGAGGTAGACCGGACAAGAGCTAAAAAGCCGGGTCAACATAAACCATGGGGGACGCTTGGGGATCTTGGTGACCCTGTAACCTTTCTGCTGGACAGGTAAACCGCTTTAACAAAGTAAGACAAGTGTCTGTAACAGAAGTGTTTCTTGTCAAACGGACCTGCTGTAGCGTGTTGTAGCGCCATCGCTAAACTGTCCTCCCTCGGGTCCTGGACTATGTCACTTTATCCTCGTTGTAGAAGTCCTGCAAACATTATGTTTGCTGGTAGTCTGTTGGCATCTACAGTAGCACCAATGCTTTTGACTTTCACCTTGACTGGGCCCCATTTGTAATGATCTGAAGGATTGATCTGCATTATATCTGAATTTAACTGGAACGATACGAGCGAGCACAATTTCTCCCCAAAACTGGCACTTCCTCAGATCCCACCTACCCCACCTTCAAAGGGTGGTCACCACGTTTGTCAGGATAAACATTAGTTAGAGAAAATGATCCACACATGTTCATCCTCGATCAGGTTTATTAGACCCGTTATAAAGTGATTATAGAGCTGCAGATAAATCTTTAATCACTGTTGGAGGAGCGTCTGTGTTGACTTAGCGGCGTATAGAGCTCCTCTTGTTCGCTGCTTCTGAAGTGAAGTGGAGCACGCCACTTAAACTCTCTCAGATGTCCTCGCTGTCTCATAATGTTCAGCAGAAGGCTCTCATCTGTTTTCGTCCCCACTCACTTGCATAGGCGTAATGTGTGCGTACACATGCCAGCACACAATAGCATTGAAGCTAGCGTCTCAACCTACACAGCCTCTTTGATGGTCGACGCACGTCCTGTTCCTGATCCTCTGAGGGAGGAGTTGAGGATGAGGCTTTTTAACAACTCACAAAGACTCTTGGAGTCGCTGCGGTGAGGCTGCCCAGAAGAACCCGGCTGATTCACCGCTTCATCACCGCTTCATCACCGCACACACACGGCATCCATCACCCTCATCACCGCTGACAGAGAGGAGTTCATACGCAGGAATTCAGATGTAAAGAGAGAGAGGACGTCACATCTGTGTGTGTCGTTACCCTCATCTTAGCCTCATGCTATCCTCATCTCACCCCCATCTTACCATCACTCTCACCCTCATCTTAACCTCACCCTCATCTCACCCTCTTCTTCATCTCACCCTCACTTAATCTCACCCTCATCTCTTCCGCATCTCACCATCACTCAGTCCTCATCCTCATCTTACTCTAACCCCAGGCTTAGCTTCACCTTCATCTTATGCTCATCTCACCTTCACCCTCATCTTATTCTCACCCTCATCTCACCTTAATCTTAGCCTCACCCTCAACTCACCCCCGTCTGATCCTTATCTCAGCCGGACCCTCATCTCATCCTCAGCCTCATCTCAGCCTAATCTCACCCTCATCTTACCATCACTCACTTTCATCTCACCCTCACCCTTATCTCACCCTATTCTCATCCTCATTCTCACCCTCATCTCACCCTTATCTCATCCTTATCTCATCTTTATCTCACTCTCTTCTCATCCTTACCCTCATCTCACCCTCAGCCTCACCCTATTCTCATCTCATTCTCCTCCTCACCTCACCCTCATCTCAGCTTCTTCTCGATCTCATCTCACCCTCATTTCAATCTCACCCTCATCTCATCCTCAGCCTCATCTCACCCTAATCTCACCCTCATCTTACCATCACTCTCACTTCCATCTCACCCTAACCCTTATCTCACCCTTTTTTCATCCTCACCCTCATCTCACCCTCATTTCAATCTCACCCTCATCTCATTCTCATCTCAACCTCACCCTCATCTCACCCTCACCATGTGTTCCCAGCCCCGCTCACAGCAGACTCTAGGCTCCCTGATCTTGTCCTCCATGACATCACAGAACCACATGACCTTGAGTGGCGGTGCGTCTGTTTGTTCCCCTCCTTCTCTAGTCGGAGTGCGTTTCCTCGTTTCCTGCGCTTCCTTTGTTTTAGAGCGCAGATTAAAAAAAGATCTGCCTTTAAAACGCCGTGTTTACACTGAGTGAGCGCTTTGAGGGAAAGCACAAAGCTGCCACACAGTGGGTGGATTATAAACTTGGACTGAGTTTCAAACAGGCTGAATTTATAAACACAGAACCCCCCCGCCTCCCCACTCACAGGTCCCAGCCTGCTAGCATACTACTGTGGATCAAACAAAGACCCGGGTCTGTCCTGCACTTTGATGCATTAATGTGTCTGTGCTTGGATTAGATTTGCACCGACTCCCGTACCTCCGAGTTCAGACTCGGAGAGCAGAGTCACGGTTCAGTTTCAGGTCCACCTGATGGTGAGGATTCTGGCCCGGCACCTCGGTGGGGGGATCTCTGGTTGCCGTGTTGTACTGGGGCACGTGAGGGGGCACGACCTGGGATCTCCATATCCTATCACAGGACTACAAGTGCCTGAATACCCATTATGTGCCAGCTGTTCAGAATGAGGAGTAATTGCACTGTTGGCAAGGATCCACGTGGGCCCCAGCTCTGCGGCCTCCCCCCACCCCCACCCCCACCCCGGGCGGACTGCCAAGCCCTCCCGCACACTGCCTCCCTGACCCATCCTACCAACCACCTAACAGCACCCCACCCCTCACCCGGGCCCACCCCTTCGCCTCGGAGGCGACCCACATCATCCCCCAAACTCTTCCACCCATTACCAGCAGCCCTCTGTTCCACATTCCTGCAGGGGCACTGGTTAAATCTAATCCCATAATAAGACACTCAGCTGTCCAGGAAAAGAAAGAGAACTTTCCTCTGGTAAACTCTACACTTCCTTTTTTCTCCTCCCCTCCCTCCTTTTCACCCCGATTGGAGGCAAGATGACACTCCGGGCCCCCTTGGCCAGTTGCTTTTGTCCTTCTTCAAGCCTGATTTATCCTTTCTTCCTTTCTTTTTCTCCGTCATTCCTTCTTTTTTTTGTCAGTGGTATAAGATTGCCTCCGTGTTGGGTCCTGAGCAGACTCACTGAGGGCCACATGGCTCTGTAATGGAGGATCATACAGACACATTTACAGATGGGAGCAGTTTCTACATTACCCCGCTGAGTCCTGTCCTGGAAATGAAACAGTGAGGAAATCATTATTTTAGATTTGAGGCTGAATCTCAGATTTTTCGTCCTTGGATGAAATCAGTCTGCTCTACATCCTCACATCCTGTGAAAATAAGACTGAACTGTATATTAGATTGACTCTCCGGCAGAGTCGGGGCAGATTTATGCTCCAGACGGGACAAATCTATTACAAAAGATCGCTTTAGTTTCTTTCACCTCTAATTTGTCTACAACATGCAACTTTGGCAATAACACAATGAGGCGATCAATACGGCGATCGACTCATAGAAAGAGCAGAGACTGTTGCTCCGCAGCTGAATCGACTGTTTGTGAATTCCTCCATGACTTCAGTTCATCAATCCAACATCCTGCAGAGTTAAATATTTCCTCTTTGTTTCGAGTGAAAAATCAGACCTAGAAATCGTTCACATTGAAGACAACAAAGGAAAACAGCAACAACAACAACAACAACAACGCCTCCTTCCAACACGAAATCAATAAATAGTAAAATTCTTAAAAATCAGTTTGACTATAATGACAGGAACAATGTTTGAGAAAAAAATTATTTAATGTTTATTGTCATTATAAAGTTGGACCCATGTCCCATCTGTTAACATGGAAAGGCTTTACGTTTGTCCTGCTGCCAGTCACCAGGGGGAGCTCTATCGGTTTTGGCGACACTAGCAGGGAGAGAACCTCAGGTCGTGTTTGAGTGTCGTCTCATACTTTGATTTTATCGATTTATCAAAACGTCATCAGTGTTTCCCGTTGCGCAGCTGCTGAAATTTCACATAATCATCAATAATAATGCACCACTAATGATTTCTACTCGCTCTGTGTGAGCAGAAGAACACACAACGTTATTTTTAACTTGTTCTGAGTCATCAACGAGTAGGGCCCGATTGATATGGATTTTTTGGGGCTGATGCTGATACTCATTATTAGGGGGGAAAAAATTCGATTACTGATTAATCTGACGATTTTTTATTTTTTTTATTAAGGTATAAAAAATATATATGTATATGTATATATGTATATACTGTAGATACCTACAGTATACTTTATACAGGATACTATTTTATGTACCGCATTTTATCTCTGAAAATATAGGCAAAAATCAGCGAGTTTTGGTCGATTACAGATTAGTCTCAAACAGGTAAAATTGGCTGATTTATTGGCTGATAAATCGGTCGGCCCTATCAATGAGTGCATCAAACCCTGTCAGATTCTCTTGCATTAATGTGAAAGGTAACGTTTAAGGTTATACACGGTCTATATAGCGAGTAACGTAATGTAACGTCAGCTCCATGAGCGGCAAGAGAGTGTGGTCAACAGCAAAAATCCCCCCCCTCAACACAGAAGCGATACTGCTGAAAAAAGTCTCAGGGAAACACAGTGTCATAATGTGTTATCTACAGCTTATATTAATATATTTATGTAGTAAATTTATACATATATCTTCTAAATTGTGAGAACTCCTGTAATCTTATTAAAATAAAGGTTATGAGGAGTCGTTAATCATCACTGACAGACGACACTCTCAGGTAATCAGCATCATTAAGCGGCACAAACACTTCCCTCTAATCTGTTTCTCTTAATTGCCTCTAACGATTCATTAACTGGATCAGATTTTCCGACCCCAGTTGCGCCGCCGTTGTTGTTCGCCCGATCGTCACATCTGCTGCACTCTCTGACCTCGCCGCCGCTGCTGCGGAGATGCACAGCCGAGTGAGATGAGAGGATGAGTGTTTACATGACTGAACAAACATCTGAATGTGTTAATCAGGTTATCTTCACGGCGATTATTAGTTAATGTAATTACAACAGAAAGATCCCAAAGTATCATCTTAATTTGAGGGTAATTAAATTAGTGTTATTTGCTGTTATGACACTGCGCTCCCTAAACGCTTAAACGGCTCTGACCGGTCTGAGCAGGATTGTTGTGTCAACAGAGGTGTCTGTGGGTTAGTGGTTATTAGGCCAGTGTATGAAGAGGGACAGAACTGGGGCTGAAGTGTCTGTACGCTGGGAGCTGGTGTGGAAATCACTAAACTGGGTTATCAGCGTTAGGAGCATGGGAAACTGGAGCAGCCTGAGATACTCAGAG